CCCCAAAAAACGAATTGAGTTTAGAAACAATTTTTTCCGTGGTTGCCCAGCCCTACTGTCCATTAGCAGTATATCAGAAGTGGGATTGGGTAGGAATTTTCCCCCTCCTATGTTCTAGGTGTTTTTGTTGCCTACCCTATACTGTTCTTGAAGGGCAAATTGGGAGCTAAAAAGGTAAAGGTAAAGGTAGTCCCCTGACATTAAGTCCAGTCATGTCTGACTCTGGGGTGTGGTGCTCATCTCCATTTCTAAGCTGAAGAGCTCCAAGGTCATGTAATTGGGAGCTACTGGGTATTAAATAGACATTCCCGGAAACAGCAGGGGATTGGAATTTGGTCCACACACAAGGCACCCATATTGGAGTGCAAGCCAGGAGCAGGAACCCTCATCTATAGTGGAAATAAAAGAAGGGAGGGCGAACACAAATGGCCTAGGAATTGGAGAATATTACAGCAATAAACAATGGGGACAGAACTATCGGTCACTTTCTCCTTTAGCAGCCAAGGGGTAGAAGGAAGGGTCATTACCACAGCTCTACCCTCACCAAGTTCATGGCCAAGCTATGACCTAGTTTAGTCCTATCAGTAACTGATGGAATGATTAAAGTTTATTAGGTAACATTAATAAAGTTGTCCATAGTTAACCCATCCATGTGTGTTGGCTCTTCATTCACGGGGGTTACGCGGCAAAGAAGCTCTGTCATCCAGATGGTAGACTTCTTCAAGAAAGCTATGACCCTGAGCCTGCAAGACTCAGACAGGACTGTTGATTTACAGCAGGGGTCCTCAAACTTTTTAAACAGAGGGCCGGATCACAGTCCCTCAAACTGTTGGAGGGCCAGATTATAATTTGAAAAAAAACATGGATTCCTATGGACACTGCACATATTTTATTTGTAGTGCAAAAGACACTTAAAATGATACAATAATTAAATGAATAACAATTTTAACAAATATAAATGTATTAGTGTTTTAATGGGAATTGTGGGCCTGAGATAGGATTGTTGTTGTTGTGTGCTTTCAAGTCATTTCAGACTTAGGTTGACCATAAGCGAGGGCTGAGTAAATGACCCTGGAAGGCCGTATCCGGCCCCTGGGCCTTAGTTTGAGGACCCCTGATTTATAGGGTTACTTGGAGGTCTCTCTTCATGAGGTTGCCACAAGTCAAGGTTGACTAGACAGCAGTTAACAACATGAAATGCCATATAAAAGTTGTCTTTTCTTGCAGGATGTGTGGACATTGAAAAGGACGCTATTTAACTTCCATTGATGGTTCAATGTGATTTTAATGACATTTGATTCATCTGTTCACTATAGTACCTGATAAAGTTCTATTTAAAGTTGCGAAATAGTCAAACAATTATAACAGAATTTGAAATGGATGAATCATTTCAGAAAGAGCAATTAATAATGTCAAGCAATTGACAGGAAACATTTATACTGGACCAGCTCTACATCCCATGCAGCTATTGTTTGAAAGGTGAGAAAACAGCAGGAGAGCATAGTGTCCTGTTATCTTATTGTGCTGGCAGATGGAGAAACGCATGACAATTTGAAAGTACCTACTGAGATACTGAGGAGACAGGTGGCTAAAATTTACACTGTCGGTGTGAAAGAGGCCAATATAATTTTATGAGACTGTGGACTCAAATACAAGATGTTTCTTTGGGGTATGCTGGTTTGTAACTTTATTCTCTAGATATGGAAAGAGAAATCCTTTTGGTTTTCCCTATAGCACAAGAACCTGAGTTTCTTGAGTTAATGATGACAGGCAAACTTAGATTTTTGATGCTGTACTCAATTTAAAACCCCATTTCTTTAAACAAAACTGGAGTTGACAGGGAATAATTGTGTTTTGACAAAACACTAGATTCTTGGAGGAACCCTTATATAGATCTCCATCTGTGGGTTCAAGCCCAAATATGGTTTCCAATCATAAATGTCACCTCTGAGTTATAAAATCACTTCAAAGTTGTAAAATGCCACCTCTGAGTTATATAAAATAGTTACTAAGGTGGTTTAATAAAAATTGATACAATTAGTTACGTGAAAATGATTACATGAACACAGCTTTTAGATGCCAAACATAAATCCAAAATGGAGGAGTAAAAGTATGGAACTAGCAAAAATATGTTTCTAGTTATCTAGTTTTTAGGGAAAGCAATGGTTGTATGCCATAAAGCAAAATGAAAATTAAACTTCAGTCTAGTTAAAATGCTTGGAAGTTTGAAAATAGTACAATTTCCCATTTCTCTGTTGATCAAGTTTAAAATTCATGGGATGAACAGCTGTGTTGATAATCTAAATAAGGTCACCTTGAATGTTGATTCGGAAGAGATAACAAAGGGATCTGTTTTCCTGATTCCCGTTTTATGATTCAAAACAGCAAATTATTTATTACACATTTGCATTTGAAACTATCCTGTCGGATCTTCAAAGGAAATGTGGCTGTTAATACTGTTCCATTGCTGCTCAAAATCTATGCTATGTGATTGCCCAAGCATCTGAAGTTTTCTCACCTGCAGAGGTCAGACTTGTTATGTACCTTGCAAGCTGTTGTTTTTAAAACCCTGCTCTCTCACACTATACAGTTATTGTATTATGATTCCACTTGAACTTTAAAGAGCAGATTTTGAAGTACCATATTCTGAAAAGAACAGCAGGAGAAATTCCTTCCTTTCTTTGCTCATTTGCTACAGGAATTGAAGGTACTGTACTGTCTTTGAAGGTAAATTTGCTCTGGAGGCTAGTATCAGTGGGGAAATGCTCATGGGGCAAACCATTTCCTCCATATCTTTTGACGGGGGCACATATGGCCCTTTCACACTATTTATTTGTTTATTTATTTTCTATCTTGCTCTTCTCATGCTAAAGGGGACTCAAAGAGGCTTACATAATTTGGCACAATTTGATGCCACAATTCAACAATATACAAAACAGTACATTATATAGACAACAAAATAGAAAAAATATATAATTATCATAAAACTTTAGAACATGATGCCTGCAGCCATCATTTGTGTTGCTACATTATGCCAAATCCGTATTGCAGTACCCAAATGCCTGATTGCATAACCAAGTTTTCACCTTTTTTCTAAAAGCCAGGAAGGAGGAGGCCAGTCTGATCTCACTGGGGAGGGCATTCCACAGCTGAGGGGCCTCCATTAAGGTGGTTCTGCCTCTTGTCCTCACCAATCGCACTTGCAAAGGAGGTGGGACCAAGAACAGGGCCTCCTGATAAGTTCTTAATACTCTAACAGGTTCTTAGGAAGAGATACGTTCCGATAGGTAAGTTGGACTGGAACCATTTAGAGCTTTATAGGCTAAAGCCAGCACTTTGAATTGTGCTTGGTAGCAGATTGGCAGCCAGTGGAGCTGACGTAACGGGGATTGTGTGCTCCCAGTATGTTGCTCCACCTGTTGGACTACTTAAAGCTTCTAAACAGTCTTCAAAGGCATGTAGAGTGCATTGCAGTAGTCTATTCGAGATGCAACCAGAACATGGACTACCATGGCAAAGTCTGACTTCTCAAGATACAGGTGCAACTGGCGCACAAGTTTTAACTGTGCAAAAGCACCCATGACCACCGCTGAAACCTGGGGTTCCAGGCTCAGCAACGAATCCAGGAGGACTCCAAGCTGCGAACCTGTGCCTTCAGAGGGAGTGTAAACGTGTCCAACACAGGCTGTAACCCTGTACCTTTTGACTGAGCAGGAGTGCCTGTCTTGTCTGGATTCAATTTCAACTTGTTTGACCCCATCCAGCTTGTCACAGCTGCCAAGCACCGGTTCAGGACATTAACAATTATACTGCTGATTCCACTTCAGTTAGTTTACATCATCAGATCAGTGAAGTTTTGAAAGGGAGGAGGCTGTCATAGCACCTTTAGGACTAACCATTTAAAAATATTTTCTTTGATAAAATATATTTATAGATATCAGCCTACTTCAGAATACAGAGTGACATTAAAGCCTCAAGTTATAAAGCAGATTTACACAGTGGTGGGCATGGGATGAAATGTAACATGATCAAGTGCAAGTCATGACCCTCACTCTACATTTTCAAAGGGCTTGTCTTTCACATATATGACTGGTCAGTTAGTGTTGATGTGTGAAAGCAAGTCTATCAAACCTTATGCCATATGTTAGTATCCGAAGTGCTGTAAGACTCAGTGTTTCTGCTGTAGATGTTGCAAGATGGCTATGCCTCTGGAGATGTTTATATTTGTGTTTGTGTGACATGTATTTAAAGTTATGTTTTTTTAAAAAAATATATATCTACTGCAATGGCCAGTGGTTTATATTGGAAAGGAGTTTTCAGGAGGATTGAATAGGAGACCCCTCACAATCCATTCCAAGAGTGAGCTTCATTTTGCCAAAATTTGGTGGCAATGCAGCAATAGCAAAAAAAAAAAAAGCCTCTGCAAAAAACATGATTTGTGTAACAAGATGTGCGTTTCCCATGTATCTTGTTCAGAAACAACACTATAGCTTTTTCCTACAGTTGTACTACCAAAATTTCATGGTGGGGGAACGTTCAGATGTGGAAGGACACCTGGTTAATACAAAAATACAAATTTATACAAAACAATCAGCAGATAAGTAAAACTAAAAGACTGTCTAAAATACTTAAGATTTTTTTGTTGCTTCTGTTCTGTGCATTCACATTGACCCTGACTTCAGGCAACTCTTTCACAAGCCTTTCCTTGACAAGATTTTTTAATGTAAAGAGAGTGTAACTTGCCTAAAGTCACCCAGTGAGTTCCCTTGACTAAAAAGGGGGATTCAAACTCTTGTGTCTTCTGAACCCTAATCAAAGACTTCTTGATGCCATATGTACTTCCCAAAGAAAAGACATTTTGCAGCTAAAATGTTGCTGCTGAAAATCTCCTTCCTTAATGATCAAAACGCAAGATCTGTTATATATATACACACACACATACACACACACACACACACCAAATTCAGGCTGCAGTCCTAAATAACTTGAACAAAGAAGAGTGGTTCAAACTCTTTTTATTTTTATATTAAGCATACAGGAGTTTGGTGCACTTTTGTTTACATATATTCAATTTTGTTTCACCGCTCTCTCACGCAATGTGTAAAAAACTCAATTTGCATAAATACTGTTGACATGGAATAAAACCATTTTCTTCATGTCTAACCAATTTTAATGTGTTCCAGAGAATATCAGGGTTAGAGGATAAATACAATATATTCACGTGAACTGCTTTTGATTGGTAGTTTCAGGAAATGCTACACAAACCATTATGCTTTAGGCACAATTGCAGGGCCACTAGTATTAGTAATTAGCAATGGTGCTAGGAGAGTGAATAGTCGCCTTCATAAACCTTATAGTCAATTGTCTTTATGTTCTGGAAGAAATTCTTTGAAGAAACCGAGTCCCATAATATTTATCTTTATTACAAGTATTTACAGCACATATAAATCAGTGCAATTTTTTACTTCCACACCTTGACAATACCATCACGAGATGCAGTAACTATAAAACCTTGAGTTGTCTGGAAAGTAGCTATGTCTGTGATAATGTCATGATGTCCAACTGGCAAGGATTCCGGGCCCCTTCGGGGGGTTTCATCGGAAGGACCCACTTTCTGCTTGTTTTGAATTTCCTGTTCAAGAGGGAAAGACATGAAGTATGCATTGTCAATAACTGTGCTGCTCAAGATTACAGGTGCTTTTGATTTTTGAATCAAATATGTACAGAAGATACATTCTGTTTGGGAATTAGAAAATAGCTAGTGAATTCACTGCTGCTTGGTTTGCTATTTTGTGGGAATCATAGAATCATAGAATCAAAGAGTTGGAAGAGACCTCATGGGCCATCCAGTCCAACCCCCTGCCAAGAAGCAGGAATATAGCGTTCAAATCACCCCTGACAAATGGCCATCCAGCCTCTGCTTAAAAGCTTCCAAAGAAGGAGCCTCCACCACACTCCAGGGCAGCGAGTTCCACTGCTGAACGGCTCTCACAGTCAGGAAGTTCTTCCTAATGTTCAGATGGAATGGGATGGTACATGGAGGCAGCCATAATAGAGTACCCATTTCCTAGACGGAGCGGAGCTTAGGAGCAGCCTGGAGGGAAATGTGGATAGCTTTGCAATTGGTTGGGAGCTTAGCTGGGAGTGGGTGGAGCGTAGTTAGAGGGAAGAGAAAAAAATTGCCTGAAAGGGGCGTTTTAAAATCTGACAGTTCAATCAGGGTTGGTGTGTTGAAGAAGGCCGTTAGGTTTTGGGAGAGTTAGGAGAAGAGAGGTGAGAGTCGTCAGAAGTTGGTCAGTTAGTTAGAAGATCAATAGCTATTAGAAAGAATAGCTGATATAGATAGTGGACAGATCCAAGGGAAAGGACTATCTGGAGTTTTGCGAATACTAGTCAGAGGGAAGTCTGCTAGTTTCCTGAAGGAGGGAGTCAAGAAATGTTTTTGGAATTAAGTATTGAACTGTTTTAAAGTAACCATACACTCCAACTCATTATTGTAACCGTTAAGCTTAAGTGCCTGTATTGTTGAAGTTCACACAAATAAACAACATTGTTCTTTGTTAAACAACAACTGTCTCAAGAGTGCCTCTGTGTGAAAATAGTTCCAAAGCAGTTTAAGGAAATAGAGTTATAAGATTGGTGGCAGCGGATATTTAAGGGAATCTCATTGTTATTTACCTCAGAGTTCAGAGCCCTGAGTGCGAATCCAGAACAATCCAGTTTACTTAAAGCCTCTAGCCAAACTAAAAGCTAAACATTCCTTTTAAGTGTGGTGGTAGCCAGTTTCCACAGTAAATTACCTCAGCATACAGAGTTTGGTGGTAAAGCCTCTGCAGCCTCCAAGCATTTAAGACATTTTAAATAATAATCTTTCACAATTGGTGGTACAGCGTTGGGGACTGTTAGTAACAATCCTATTACAATTGTTGGCAAGCGGTGGGATCACCAAAGGAAAGGTTCCCCTGCCAGAAGATCGTTTTGAGTCAGCTTTTAATTAAATAAACAGTTCCTTCACATTTGGTGAGCAGCATTTGGGATTGTTAAAATAAACAATAATCTTTCACATAAGGCAGTGGTTCTCAACCTGAAATCCTAACAGCTGGTGAACTGACTGGGATTTCTGGGAGTTGTAGGTCAACAACATCTGGGGACCCCAGGTTGAGAACCATTGACATAAGGTGTCTAGAAAAAGAATGGTAGGTCTGGGAATGCTTTGAACACTGTAGAGGGAGTGATGAAGGGAATGCCAAACTTCATACCGATCAAAATAAAATATATAGGCACAAGCTTCACCTGTGTATGCCTATGCTACTAAGCAGGATGCTAGTACCAGGAATAAAAAATACTATCAAATGGTACTCCTGAGTTCTGTCCCATAAATACAAGGTTAGAAGGGAAATATTTAGATTTAAATGAAAATGCAAAGCAATATACCTGAACTACTTCAGTGCCTTCAATGATCTTTCTATAATAAGATACAGATGGGGAACCAGAACTTCCAGCAACAATGTAAGACCTCTCAGGATATGCTAAATCCCAGAATCTGCAAAGGAAAAAAAAGAAATGCATAAACGTATTCACATATGAACCTTTTAGACTTTAAAATAAAATTATTTAAAAGTGCTGCAATCAGAACAATAACTACAGATCACAATACAGTGAGCCCCAGTGAGTCTCTTAAAAATTGCATTACATTTACCTTATCTTCATATCTGATCCTGCAGTCAGTAATATAGGATTTCCATCTGCTGGGCTGCAATATATTCCATGAACACTGTGAGGTGAAGGCTAAGGGATAGGAAAGCATACAGTTTATGCATATCGTGATGCTGACGTATTTTAATGTTGTAAAAAAACCTACTTATTAATTAGGAATGTGTTTAATAAAAGTAAAGATATGGGACTATAAAATCGAAGTTACATCTAGATTCTACCTTAGTGGGAAAAAGTTGTTTACACATTGTCAATGATTTGCATACATTACAATGTGAAAATAAGAACATCAAAACAAAAGTAAGGCAGCTGAGCCTCTAAGCAAAATGGAAGTCGTAACATAATGCTTCAAAAAAGTAGAGCAGACAATTATTGAGATACCCTAGTCCAAGCCATGAAGGATTATATACATATTATATTTTGACAGCACTGTACTTGGGCCAGAAACATTATCATACAACATGGAGGAAAACCTAGAGATGCCCACAAACACTTGTAGGCAGAATATTTTTGGACCACGAGGAAATGAACCAGTGGATATCAAATCTGTGGATGAAGTGGTCATACTATATACAGGAAATCTCTGTTCCAATAAAAACAGAAGGTTTGACAGTATATACATTTCACTATAGTTTAAAAGAAACTACACTGGAAAGAAATATGCTGCCCATTTTTTTTTTTTAAAAAAAGCCAAACCTGCATTTCTGAAAGAGGAGGAGCGCTGCTGGCCCACAGAGTGAAGCGTCTGTCGCCTGTTTCCATGTCCCACATGGAGACTTCATTATTGCCTTGGACAGCTGCAAAGAAGCCATTGACAAAAATTACAAAGTCAAATTGCACTGCAGGAGTTACCTCTCTCTCTCTCTCTCTATCTATCTATCTATCTATCTATATAGATTTGCTCTTCCATTCTGTTCCATCACTGCAAAAATAATGAAGCAAAGGGAGTTGCTGTTATTGTCTCAATACATCTGTTCTTGTTTCAAGAACCATTGAAGTCTTATATTCTTATTATAGCCACAAACCACAAAAGCGACAGGAGAGGGATTATAGCACTCACCTAGATCCTACATCTTGTGATAGAAAACCTGCGCTTAGAAGGCCTGACGAATGCCACCCTCTGGTCTGACCCAAGGAGTTTTAGAAACTGATGCAAAAACAAAATGAAGTCCCTTCCTAGGGCACAATCAGAAACTGACAGGCTTGAGCCTTGCTTCAATACTGGTGATGGTGCAGCATTCCTTCCTTTACCTGAGGCAGGACCCAGGGTAAGGAAACAAAGGACAGACTGTGTGGCAAACACAACTTCGTCCTCCAAAACAGGGAGGTGGATGAAGACTATATGAAGAACAACGAGAAGGCTGCCACGGCTGTCCCCTTTTCTGAGGAGGCTGCTTCACTTTGTCCAATGATACGTCTTGCCTTGCTCCTTGCAGACCTTCACATGCTACTCTTTTTATCTTTCTAGCTGAAATCACAACCATGGACCTAAAAAATGAAACATGCAGCTGCCAAGAACTAATGCTTCTGAAGTAAAGACCCATAAAATATGCTAACTAACAATAACAATAACAGGGTTGCTGTGTGTTTTCTGGCCTGCATGGCCACGTTCCAGAAGCATTCTCTCCTGACGTTTCATCCACATGTATGGCAGGCACCCTCAGAGGTTGTGAAGTCTATTGGAAACTAGTCAAGTGAGGTTTATACATCTGTGGAATGTCCAGGGTGGCAGAAAGAACTCTTGTTTGCACGAGGCAAGTGTGAATGTTGCCACTGGCTACCTTGATTAGCATTTAATGACCTTGCAGACTCAAAGCCTCTCTGATTGATGCCTGGGGGATCCTTTGTTGGGAGGCAATAGCTGGCCCTGACTGCTGCCTGGATCCCCTCAGGCAATTAGCCGGCCTTAGAAGCTGCAAGGCTATTAAATGCTAATCAAGGTGGCCAATTGCAGCATTCACACTTGCCTCAAGCCGACAAGAGTTCTTTCTCCCATCCTGGAAATTCCAAAGATGTATAAACCTCACATGCCTAGTTTCCAACAGGTCGCACAACCTTTGAGAATGCATGCCATAGATGTGGGTGAAACGTCAAGAGAAAATGCTTCTGGAACATGGCCATACAGCCCAGTGATTCCGGCCATAAAAGCCTTGCGTTGTTAGAAGGCCTCTCTTTCTTCTCCAGCCTTCAACAACACATTAACAATGACAGTCACTTCTAAAGTAGAGGCCCATAAAATGCATAACAACATTATGTAACAAAGTGAAAAATATTCTGTTTCTGGTTTTATTTCCAGTTTATTTGTGCAGTACTTACTTCGAAAGTAGCTGTTATATTCCAGAAATTTTGTTTTTGTGGCTGCCACAAACTACAATGAATTGGTTGAGACTCTATGAGAAATTCATTGAAAAACTATAGCAAAATGTGCTGCAGGATATCCCGCAAAAAACAGTTTTTGCAGTTTAATGAACTTGTTTCATGTTTTTATGATACAACCAATTTGGAAATGACACGTAGCGTAATGACAAAAACAACAATAGCAACAATTTATTTGTTACCCGCCTCTCCTTGTGGCTCGAGGCAGGGTTCAAAATGGCTAAAATAGATAGATAAAAGACAACACAAAACACAGCTGATTTAGTTGTCGAATCTCTTCTGGCAGCTCAATCCATAATCTATTTTGAAGCCAAGGCTCATAGAAAAGGAAATAATTTTCATCCACGTGCTGCTTCCCTACTCAATTAGTGGAAGGTCTAAAGGGGAATGGAGGCACTGTTTTAAGTTCTTCCAGCTGGAAGATAGAGTTTGGGGATGGTGGGGAGTAGCAAAGTCAGAGTTAGGCCAACAGGCAGACTCTTACTTCTTCTTCCAGGAAAAGATTTAACCACAATTTATGAAACTCTTACATTTTGCAAGGAAAAAGAGTTAGTTGTACCTGCAATCACCCATGACTGGGAAAGGGGATGCATCAGTAACCGTCTTATTCGTGCCCTTGAAGGATGGGGGTGGTTGGAAATGGGTAACTGGAACCTCATGTCCCAACATGCCATAGTTCCACTGCTTGTACCTTGTGAGGAACAATGTAATTACTATCTGCAATGTGATTTTATTGGCTTTTTAAAGCTTCAGCAACTCTAACAGTGCACACATCAATATACCTAATGACCCAAAACATCCGTTTTCTATACATTTTCACTGTTATAGAGAATTTTAGTGTCCTTGTCACCATGCAGCAAATCATAGTTAGTTCCAATGTTACCAAGGGAAGAGCATGGTTAGAAAAAAATGAGCTCTATGCATTAAATCCATGTTATATGAGGGAGTTGAACCCAGTTCTGCTCTCCAGGAATGAGACTATACTAGCCTTCCTGAAAGCAAGGATGTGTGTTATAATTCCCACCTGCTATCTCTGCAACTCTAAACACAATAATAATAATAATAATAATCATCATCATCATCATCATCTTTATTTATACCCCACCACCATCTCCCTGAAGGATACTCGGAGCAGCTAACATGAGACCAAGCATTATTTGACATACCAACAGTATATGTCTTACCAATGCAGAGCCAGCACTGATGTATGTCAACAGCAAATGAGGTTATAAGTCCCAACCGTAAATCATGCTTTAAGGTCCAAGCATTATTAGAGGATCTCAGGTCCCATCCCACTAAAGAACCATTCACAGTGGCATATGCCAATACCGACTGGGCTCCTGAATTAAAATGATGCATGTCAACCACACAGCCATCGTCCTTTTGATCCAAACACCTGGACAGATAAAGCAAAGGTAAAATGTCAGGAGAAAATGTTGCTAGAACACAGCCATACTGAACAGAAACCACACAACATCCCGATACTAATGGAACCTGTTAGCACATGCAAAGGACAGATGCATACCTGTTTTGAATTGGGTGAATCTTGGGAGACTTGGGAAGTTTTGAGGCTTCGATTCCAAGAAGCTGGATGGCTCCATTATCTGAGGCTACAGCCAAGTAGTGAGAACCCTGGCAAAAAGTAAGAGTTGTCACACGGCCTCCAATCCGAGAATAGGTCAAAATTGATCTGTTGTAAGAAACAAAGGGGGCAGGAGGGGGATTTCAAAAGAAATTTCTAAAAATGTACTTAACTTTAATCAAAAGCAAATCTCCAATACAAATCCTTGTAAACCCTTCATTTATCCCAGTCTCTTACATAGAAATCTACCATCTTGAAAGAATTGTCAACACGTTTTTTAGCAATCTCATCTCACAAGATCTACAATTCTCAAGATTTCTTTAAATCAGAACTTATAAATGGGGTCACATGGCTTAAGACTAACCAAGCAGAGGAATCTGTTCAATGGATTTGAGTATGAAGATCATACTTTAGTATGCATGCTTCATGTGACTGGGAAACAATGGATTAATTTATCTGGAATTTGAATCCACATCGCAGTAGGGGGCTGCAGTAGCACAGCAGGTTAAACTGCTAGCTGCAGTAAGTAAGTAAGTAAGTAAGTAATCTGCTGACCAGAAGGTTGGCAGTTCGAAGCCGCGAGCTGAGATGAGTTACTGACTGTCAGCCCTAGCTTCTGCAAAACTAGCAGTTCAAAAGCATCCAATGCGAGTATATCAATTAGTAACGCCTTGGCAGAAAGGTCAAAGGGTGCCCCATGCAGATATGAAGACATGCCAGCAACAAAATCCGAGATATCTATGGACAACAGGCTCTTTGGCATGGAAAAATGGGACAAGAGCACCTCCCCAGGACCGGAGTTGTGCATCACCTCCAGACGCCAGAGATGGAAAAAAGGGGAAGGCTTTTATTTTGTCTGTGTTGTATGTCATTGTTCACTGTGTGTAAAAGGACTTGAATGTTTGCCTCATATGTGTATAGTGTCATCCACTATGACTCCCTCCAGAGAGATAAACGAGAATATAAATACAGTGTATTATTATTATTATTATTATTTTAATCAAATGGGTGCCTCATAAGAAATGAAATACAGAGTTGTGAATACCGGCCTGAGAATAAACATCTGTCCATTCCCCATTAACTCCGTAGGAACTTTCTAATAACATACATCAAGCTGATAGCTGCCTGTAAAAGCACTGTCTATCAAATCACTTTTTGTATTAGCTCTTTATGATAAGGTATTAAAAACAACTTTTTTGTTTATGACATAAATTTTATTTCTATGCACACTCTTTTATCCAAAACCATTTAATTGCCTGAGGTTATTAGTCTGTACAGGAGAGGCCTTTTATTGTTTTTAAGATGACTTGTAAGCACTTGAAGACTATTGGACACAGCAGAATATAAAAACAAAACAAAGACACAAAAATATAATATTGTAAAGAGTTGCACACTTACAACAAAAGCCACGCAGCCTCACCAATATACTGTCCAATACTCATTTCAGCTAGACACAATTATTGGTGCAGGAGGGATATTATTTATTACCTGGTGGTAGTAGTTTTGCCCTCCATTTTCTGACTGTTCCAGATTTTCACTGTTCCATCATTTGAGCACGTCGCAAAAATCGAGTGCTCATCAGAGACTCTAATACGGTTCACTGCAGACTTATGTTCATGAAGGTGAGCAACAAGAAGTCCTTTAGGATGCCATCCTAAAGAAAGCAGCAAAAATTGTTTTTCCCCCCTATATCTGACAATAAATCAAAAGCTTCCTATCCAACCTAAGAAAAAACCCACAAAAGCAACAATACACCAAATGTACTAGTCACAATTCATATCCATATATCAACCAGTACTGCCCTATTGATGCTGAAAGTTATTAAGAAGCATAAGACATATATAACTCTTCTTTCCAGAAAATTATCTGATACTATACTCAATGAAATCGTAAATATGGTCACATGCCACACAGTACATGAATAATTCTAAACAGATAAAAGTATTAGGAGGGAGTTTGACATCCACAAAGAGCAGCAGTTTTAATGGTTAGACTGGTTGTATGAGGATTTAGAGGGCAATAAACAAACAAACCAAATACCCATGTAATCGAGCACAGCAGGACCTTCACTGCTTTTTAAATATAATATAGTAGACCTGTAATAAACTATTAGATGGAAGTTACATAAGGAATTACTTTTTTAAACCAACATTTTAAAAAGTGTTACTCAGACAGCTTCATTGCCTTTTGTCAAGAGTATGACGACTATCACCTGTAGGTGGGGGCTTGCTCTCCCATTCTGCATTCTCCATCATCTGCTTAGCGATTCTTTCTGCATTGCACTGTTCGCGCTTCTGCTGGATCAGCTGCTGAAGTTCTGTCTTACAAGTAGTGATGCGTAGCTGATAGGTAGAGGGTGACGCTATACTGCTTAAGACCTGTATGGTTGGCTTCCTGGCTTGGACAACTATTCCATCTGCTGCCTGAAATCAATAGATCACATTGAAATACTCGTGTTTAGAAGTGTTGTGTGGTCACTGTATTATATTTCAAAAAGAAAGAGGATGCCCACATTATAATAGATACTTGTATGTGAACATCCGTTTACATGGCATTTCCACTTTGCTAATCAAAAAGTAATTAAGTAAATGTGGAAGAGCTGTTGCAATTTTGATGTGTATTATACATCCTAAATGCCCATGTCGTTTACCAATGTTACAAGAACAAGTAACATTATCACTACGTATAGGGCCTATAAAGCCCTAAACAGTTCTGGCCCAACTTACCTGTCCGAACGTGTCTCCCCTTATGAACCATCGAGGACTCTAAGATCGTCTGGGGAGGCCCTGCTCTCAGTCTCGCCTTTGTCTCAAGTACATTTGGCAGGGACGAGAGACAGGGCCTTCTCAGTGGTGGCCCCCCGGCTATGGAACACCCTCCCTAGGGAGATTAGATCTGCTCCTTCCCTCTTAACATTTCGGAGGCAAGTTAAAACATGGTTGTTTGAGCAAGCGTTTACAAATGCAGCTAAATGTAGGAAATCAAACGATGGAACTGGACAATGCTTGACAATAATGAGACGTTAATGATGTTGTTTTAATTGTCTTTGTGGGGTTTTATATTGTTTAATGTTTTAATCTGTATTATGTTTTTATATGTACTGATTTGTTGGAAACCGCCTTGAGTTGCCGATTGGCTGAGAAAGGCAGTATACAAATACAGTAAATAAATAAATAAGCATCACAGTATACTAACTCTGTTAACACAGTTCAAGCAAAATGACTAAAGGAAATCAAATTTAAGCCTTGTTTGGCCAAATTTTACAAACACTCTCACACTTTTGTGAGCTAGTCAAACCTCCTAAGTGACTGAGTGCTCAATCAGGAAGATGCCAGACTCTAAAGGTTAGAAGCAGTTCTTCCAGTTCTAAAGATCATGCAAAATGCTAATGAAAAATCCAAAAATACCTGTGGGGATGATGACAAAGGAGCCGAGATGCCAGCTGAAGACTCAGATCGAAGAGGTTTTCCTGTCTGAATGGCTTCCTGATCCGTGGCCTGACTGTGCCCTTTGCTGATTGGCTGAGGGATATTAGAAGGTTCCAAGGAGCCAAACATACTCTTCCATTCTTCATTCACATTTGAATCTTGTTTGACATGCTTCCTAGCTAAAATTAAGAAGCCACAAAAGGAGGATTAGCAAAAGGATGTGACAAAGTTTGTGGGAATAAATCACAATTAATGACATGAACCTAACAATATACACAGACACTAAATGAAATAGCCTGGTTAGCTTTGGTTCCATCTGAGATGGAAGAGGAGTCCAGTGATAGTTTCAAACCATCACTAAACTGAAAAATCTTGGAATATTCAACAAAATCCAAATACAACAAAACCATGATACCATTATTAGCCAACCAAAAATGTACAAAATACATCATGCAAATGTTTGAAGCTCCACTGGCTTCTTTATCCGGTAAAGACGAAGGCCTACATTTTCCTGAAATGCTATTTTGGTTGTCAAATCAGATTGTTTGAAGGTTCTCAATGGAGGCCATCCCCCTTTTTGGCCATGTGGGAACTAGGGACAAGGGCAATACAATTTCAACTCCATCAGCAACAGAAAACAGTACCCATCATGCTCCCCTGAGGCAGGCCGTTCTTCTGTTTTCACCATCTGCTTCTCTGGCCTTGGAACTCAACAAAAAAGCTCCTGTTTTGTAGCAGATTCCTAAGAAGTCACCAGAAGCAATTTGCAACTTTGTGCATGAAACAAAGGTTATGTAGACTGAACCACCAGAAAGCACAGGTATCACTATCTCAGCCACCTATGTGGATAATTTTAGATTTCAGAATTCTGGATAAGGGATGCTCAACCTGTACCATGTAACACAAGATGCCGTATATGATCATATTACCAACAAGAAAGCAAAACTGTCAATATTTGATGGGGAGATAATTTTACAGATATTTCTTAGGTCATTTAAAGAAATATACCTAAGGTGAGCTGAAGCAAGCTTTAGGCATGTGCAGCTGGGCTAGCAGAATGCACTTCCCTATCTTGTCCTCATTCCCTCAAACTACAAGAAGATTGGGAGACTGCTTAACAGAGCAGACTATGGCACAGAGGAAACACTGAAGAACAAGGGATTTCTCCAGATTAGATGGTGGAAGGTTTTTTGCATAGAACTCTGTTCATGAAATCTAATGTTGCCTGATTCTCAGTGAGCCACCCTTCAATTTACAGGTTTCCATATTAAACCATTTAAAACTCTAACCATGGAGTCCATGTGTAGTATATTTTGTAGTCCAGTATGATAGGAATGTCCACTTTGCAAGCCCAGTTGCATATGTCTAAATCTGCTTCCAGGCCACAGCACGACAATGAAATCTTTCCCATTTAAGTGTAATTCATTATCTTACCATTTCAGTTATTAAACACAAAACAGATCTGAATCATGAGGCCATACTAACCACGCTTGTCATCAGATTCTTGTTTAGTTTTGATAAGATCAACTTGTCTCCCAATTATACCCAAAGCTGCCAAATCAATCACTCCTTTCTGGGTGCTATCATGAAGATGGCTCTGGTCTACAATATTAGCTTTGGCTTTGTTGGATTTCAGCATGAAGTCTCTTAAGGCTAGCAGTTTATCTTCTTCTTCTTCTGTCATCCCCTATCCAAAAACAAAGTAAAACAGTGGACAGTTAAATTTACATTTTCCTCAAGGCAGGGAAACACAGATGAGCATTTTAGATATCACATGGCATGTGGCAACTGGGGTCAAAATCGATTTAGGTGTCAAATGTTGTATAATCCAATTACTTTGGAACGATTTGGCTATGATAAGGGAGAAACCAGCATACAAAAGTTAAAAATGACCACACCTGGATGGTATGCTGTGAACCATCTAAAAATACATAACTTTGTGATATAAAGCCGATCTAAATTCTATGCTGAAAGAGTACACGTGAAACAAAATAGAGTTAACAGGAATAAATCAGAATAATTTGTACCCAGTAGATTGCACAGAAATTGTTCAAATTCAAATCCCTGTACAGCTTTTTCATGCACTACTTAGCTATTTACAAATCACTATCTTATGGGTTCTCTGCCCCATCTGAGATGGCTTTAGGGAAGATGGCTATACTACCACAATACCTTATTCTAACTTGATCATGACTCCTCAGTATTACTGCTATATTGGCTATTAATTACTTGGGAAAGCAGCTTCTTTAGTAGCTGTGCAATTGCTGGATCTTCAGGGGGTGGGCAATCAGGAAGAGTCCCATTCCTTTTCTTCTGACGAAGCTGAAGTGTTCTGAAAAGACTTCCTATGTCCTTCGATCGTAGAGCATAATCAAATATCGATCGGCTTACAGGGTCTTTGAGGACACTCAATAGGACTATTTCTTTATCTATCTGCAATTCATGAAGAGGAACAAGGAATCAATCAGATCATCACAGAAACACAATTAAAGAATCTTAAGGAGAAAGATCAGCCAATCTTGATTATAGAGTTCTAGCCTCTGGCATTAGTGTTGGATTTTGAAAGAGGAAATTTTGAAATTTATAGAAGGGAAAGAGATGGGGAGAGCCAATAAAGGTTAGGCCAAGGCCGCTTGAACTCTCTGGGTAATTTTCCTAAAATGGTAATAAAACTGAAGGTCTAAAAGGAATTATTTATGGTCTAAATAATCTGAATGCATCAAATCCCATCCGATATTGGAAGCCAAGCAGAACCAGCTCTTTGACTGCATACCAGTGATGTTGTTTACAAACCAGTTCATGTGTATTCTATCATATAGTAAGCTGGAAGCAGAAAACAATATTTCCTTATATGTGTATATGTGTCTTCAAGTCTGCTGTCAATTCTGAGGGATACTCAAGAGTTGACTTTGCCAATTCCTTCCTCTGGGTATAGCTACAACACTTGATATTCACTGGTGGTCTCCCATCCAAGTATAGTTATAGAAAGCAGCACACCTCTGGCAAGGCTTTTTATAGAAACACCCAAGATAATTGTCATACACTATATACAGTCATGAATCATGTTTTACCACCACCATCAATCAATAACATGGACCAGAGAGAAAGAAAGTCATAATACGCTGTATTGCACAAAAAGCTGTGCAAGTAAATAGAATAGTGAGAGGAGATTCAACAACTAGATGTTTGTTCTGGTAGCACCTTCTTGGCTCATTGAGCATGTAATTGTGTCCTCATAATTAAGGCAGAAGGATGTTCAGGCACATCATTTTATGGTCCCTTATGTTTTTTCCACTCTAAATTATGATTTACACATGCAGCTGGTCCATTACCTGTATTATTGGCTGAGTGATAAAAGGATGCAGGTAAGGCATAAGTTTGCAATAAACATCAGCAATGTTCAAATGCTGTGCTACAACAGTTATAAATCCTACTGCTCCATAGCATATCCAGAGGTTAGGATGGCAGAGAAATGGTGCTGGGGAAAATGTATAAAAAGAGAAGCAAATTTCAAACCGTTATCCAGCAAATTCACAATATGATCAATAAATACACACATATTTCAGATTGAAATGAAAATGGGATCAAGACTGATACATTATAAGGTATTATGATCTTGACTTATTATTAAAAGAATGTTTCATCCATTCTATTATTTGTTTCTATTGTTTTGCTCTAATAAATTAGCCATAACAACTCACATAAACCATCCTTGCAAATACCGTATATAGCCAGTCCCCAAGTTACAAACAAGATGGATTCTGCAGATCTGTTCTTTACATTTGTTTGCAAGTTACATTTGTTTGCAAGTTACATTTGTTTGCAAGTCAGAACAGATGCATTTTTCAGCCATATATATATATATATATAGAGAGAGAGAGAGAGAGAGAGAGAGAGAGAGTGCCTTGGATAGCATAGGAAAGAGTTAATACCCCTGTGATATTTGTTTTGCTGTCTGTGCCCTGTTCAGAAGATTTCACCTCACTTTCTGTCCCTGTGATAATTTGATTTCAAAAAATGTGGCTTGTTGTAGAAACAAGGATTGATTATAAAGCTTCAATGGAGAGAGACACCTTTTCCCCATGATAACTCTTCCAGGAGTAGATTTCCCTTTCAAGGGGTAGATTTCTCAGAGATTGACACTCTGGCACTTTAGTTTGGAATTGATGGCAAATAGTTTAACTACAGATGGTCTATGTTTTAAGATTGTGTTATTTTATTATCATATGTGTTTTTAGTGGTTATTTTTATAATTGTATGTGATATTGTTTTATACTCATGTACCGTTTGCACATGCGCTTGTTAACTGAAAGGTCACAGGTTCGATTCCGGGAAGCAGCGTGAACTTCCGCTGTCAGCCCTAGCTTCTGCCAACCTAGCAGTTCAAAAACATGCAAATGTGAGTAGAACAATAGGTACCCCTCCAGTGGGAAGGTAACGGCACTCCATGCAGTCATGCCGGCCACATGACCTTGGAGGTGTCTATGGACAACGCCGGCTCTTCTGCTTAGAAATGGAGATGAACACCACACCCCAGAGTCAGACATGACTGGACTTAATATCAGGGGACAACCTTTACCTTACCATTTGTTATGCTGCACTTTGGAGTGCCTTGTAAACTGCCCCAAGTCCCTTTCGGTAGATGGTGGCAGGATATAAATAACGTTTATTATTAATATTAGTGCTTCCTGTTTTATCACTCCTGTTCTTAACTATGAATCATTTGTAAGTCAAATATTTGTAACTCAGGGACTGCCTGTACATTGAAAGGACATTTGGAGGTTTTTTGTCCTCTTGCTTGCTATTTTGCTATAGTCTACATATATATGTGTGTGTGTGTGATCATTTTCTCTCCCTTTTTGACTAGAAAACAAAAGAATCAAGAGTTATTTTATAGTAACTGTGCTTAGAACTGCAACTTTAGCCAAAAATATTTCCTCCTTTTCCACTTTCAGGAGGAAATGCAAACACCAAAGCCAGAAGGCCCTACACGATTTCCCATATTGAGTGAAACAAGCAGGAATATCTGGTTGCTGGTGGAATTTTGTTATTGATAAACCATCACTGGACAGGGCCATTTTAACTAGTCCTTCATTAATGGGTACCAGTTTAAATAATTCTGAATGTGATTTTGTCACTACACAGTGTCTTGTCTATAATGATATAAAACTACATCCCATACAAAGAAATCAAAGACAAAAACTGTTTCCAAGAAAGATGACTTACCAATATCACAGGCAAATTCATATATATGTGGTTTCTGCAGAAGTCCTAATTGGCACATACAAGTAAGGGCATTGAGGGCTTTATAGATGACAAATTCCTCAGCATCACTAAGACCTTGCTGAAGCAGAGGCTTCAAGATTGAAGAGCTTTGCCAGCCAACATAAGCAGCAACACCTGCAATCCAGGCAGAACAAAAATACATATTAGAATTCCTAAAAGCCACCAACCGAAAAAGAAAAAGTCAACAGACAAGTTGAGTTGACTTATTTAGCATCCCAAACATTCTTAATGAGGAACACTTCTTAATGAGCTATGACCCAGTTCCATATCAGAATAAAGGCTGATTAAAAAAAAATAAAATTAACATTAAATTTCAATACTAGTACTCATTTTATATAGGTACTATGAAATCCACTGTTATGAAAGAATATGATAACATACAGCAAAGATGGCTTAAACATTACCATACATACATGGAGAATAACTACTATAGACAGTCTCCAAGTACAAATATATGACTTACAAATGACTCATAGTTAAAAACGGGGCTGAGACAACAGGAAGTGAGAGAAATGTACCCCCTTGGAAGGGAAATTCACTCCGAAGAGTTATCATGGGGAAAGAGTGTCTCAACTGAAGCATTGTCACCAATCCTTGTTTCCACAACAAGCCATTTTTTTTTCAAAATCCAATTATCACAGGGACAGAAAGTGAGGTGAAATCTTCTGAACAGGGGCACAGACAGCAAAACAAACACCACAGGGGTATTAACCCTTACCTATGCCATCCAAAGGGTGTGGCTGGAGTTACACTTTACAAATGTACCTGTTCCAACTTACATACAAATTCAATTTACAAACAAACTACATAACATATCTTATTCATAATCTAGGTACTGCATGTAGTTGTTTTATTGGGAGAGGAACAGAATGTTGATGATGCTCCAACTATCACATGCAGGAGACAAACAATGGGTGCTTTATGCCAATGTAATGGGATAGGCAATTATGGTGTTCTTTGTCTATTTTTTGCCTATAGCTTCCATTTGTTCTAACCAACACCGCCAATATTGAGGGATTATAGGATTTACACTTAAAAATAGCTGGGGAGGGCAGACACTACCGTCTAATCTAATACTTGTAAATTTCTTGGGAGCAACTGTCTGACCACTGCATCATATCACTGATCATCTCCATGTAGACAATTCTTATAGATTTAATATTGCTATTTGGGATGTTTCCAGGAGATCCTAATGTTCAGAATGAAAAAGCACCACACAGCTATCCCATTTTATCCGCTTAATAATATTCTTTTATGAGAAAAAAAAAAGAAATGTGTAAGAAACAAAAAAATTGGCATGGTTACAAATGGATGATGACAGTGTCTGTACCTCCTGTAAAATCCTAGTCAAGTCTAGCTTAACAAATTACACACTGAAATCTAAGCTGTTTCATCCGCTGTCAAAACATTTTTAAAAACCAGGCTATTAATACGCATAGCTATTAATACATATAGAATAAAACCTTACATTCCTCATTTAAAAACATATCAACCAACATACTTTTAATACATGCAGAAAGATTCTCATTGCTGTCAGCAACATACCCACTATACTGTCAAAAAAAGCTCCTCGTAGATGCCAATCATTCTTATCATTAAGGAAGGTGATCATGTGGGATAGGAGAACATCGTTGGCTTTCTGACGTCCAAAAAAGACACACAAGCGAGTGATTCCATTTTCCATCAAGGTCTGCTTCACAATGTTTTCTGGATCACTCAGCAATGTGACAACTTTCTGCTGGACCATTTCATGCAAGGCTTGAAGCTCTGAAAGAAGACCACCAAAATGGGAGTCAGAAAATCCTGTATGGGTATTAATGACTGAGAGAAGTCTTCCATGTGAGGTATCATTTGCATTGAACCGTGTTCTTTTGTTTGTCATTGTTTCTTTTGTAACATTCATAACACTTCAACAAAAGTAAATTTTCAAATATACTGTTGTAGTCAAGCCTGTGGCATAACTATAGCACAGATGTTACAAGTGGCATTTTCAATAGAAGCATGCAAGGTGCCTCAAGAGGAGTATTTATTAATCACAAGGCAGCGTACAACTAAAATTAATTGAAACAATTTAATATTCAAAACAGAATAATTTTTGCAGACTGGATGGCCCTTGTGCTCTCTTCCAACTCAATGATTCCATTATTCTCAATGCCATTTTTTCTTTGTGAGATTACAAATAAGTAAATGTACATATGACCATACTCATAGTAATTTTAAAAGTGATACATTACCAGTGTCATAATTTTCACTAGGATGTGTTGCATCATCAGTTTCCTCACTGTTTGGTTCATTTTCCATGTTCAGATTTTTCAGCTGGACTAGTTCCAAGAATCTCAGAGCAGTTTCAGCCAACAGTGCTATGTTCTCTGGAAAAATTAATGAACAATGAACAAGTTCTGATAATGTGAACAGAATAAGCATATGTAATACTGGCTTAATATAAATGACAAAACCCATGCCAATTTCTTGTAATTCTTCCAGGTTTGGACTTTCTAGAATTCCTGCCTTTAGAAAGTTACTGGTATGTTTATGTAAGTAAGACAGCCTCCTTCTTCAAAAGATTGAACTATGCAACCCAGTCTCCACCATCATACCCTACAGCAGTGGTTCTCAACCTGGGGTCCCCAGATGTTTTTGGCCTACAACTCCCAGAAATCCTAACAGCTGGTAAACTAGCTGGGATTTCTGGGAGTTGTAGGCCAAAAACATCTGGGGACCCCATGTTGAGAACCACTGCTCTACAGGTAGTTCCAAAATGCATTAAGTGAAATGGAATGATGGATTAGCTGCAGTTCATTCAGATATAGGTCCATCATATTTCAGTTTGATGATGCCACATCAAAAAAAAGTCTGCCCTTGCAGCATGACAGTACCCCAACCAAAGTGCTTCAGATTAAAGAGTTCAGGAATGACCAGATTTTCTTGTTCTAAGGTTTCCTACAACCAGGAGATTGGGGTAGATGTCATTTTCCAGCACACCAATGCTTCGGAAATGCTTTAGTTGGGGCTCTGAAAAGCTGCAAAGGTAGGTTCTGGGGGGTCTTGTTTGGTCATTCACAACCATAAAGGTGGATCTCCAGCAGTTACAACATCATAAGTAAAGCTTATGATCGTATAACCGCTGAACAGGATGCCAGGCTATTTTTCTAATATCATATATGCAAGTAACTGTTGTTTTAGACAGCAATGACAGACAAGAAAAAATGCAACGCAGAGCCCAAAAAAGTTCTTCCTGTTGAAATACTATCCTATTTATTATATATGTTCGAGTATAAGCAGAGTTTTTTAAAGCTGAAAAGGCCCCCCTGCCGACTTATACTCGAGTCAGTGTTATAAATTATTTTTCTCTGTTATTATTATTTTACTGAAACCAAAACACAGTATGTCACAGCAAATGAGACATATATGCTGGATATATAATTATTATTATTTTACTCTATTATTATTATATTATAATTACATTTAAATTATTTAACTCTATTATTATTACATTTATTATTTTACGCTATTTTTTATTATTGAAAGAATACATAAACACATTTACATTGAAGAAGGTTAGAATAATGATTTAATCAGAGTTGGACAGTCTTCCCTTAAATTATGTAAATATTCAAAAACATTTAACCTACTGATGCCTCAATTAATGTAATTTTATTGTTATCTATTTTTACTTTGAAATTTACCAGTAGCTCCTGATTTTTCCACCCTCAGCTTATACTCAAGTCAATACGTTTTCCCAGGTTTTTTTTTTTTGGGGGGGGGGGGGGTTGGAAAAATTAGGTGCCTTGCCTTATATTTGGGTCAGCTTAAACTCAAGTATATATGGTATGTGTATGTTTGAAAATTCTAATTCTAATATGAAAAAAACCAACAATTTACCTCTTAATTAAAGTTTAGATTTGTGCACATTTTACTAGTGTCTTTCATTATTATGTTGTTTCTGAGCAGGAATATCTCAAATATTGATGACTCTCACTCTTATCTGGCTACCACCCTAATTTCTTACCCGCATAAGCCAGCCGGACTATCGTAGCTTCATCTTGGGCCAAGTGTGCAATACCTGGCAAGATGTACTCTGGGTAGATATTGATATCATTACGTGGTACCTCTTTGACAAGAGCAAGAACTTTAGTAAGTGTCCTAACAGCTTCAGCCCTCACTCTGGGCACAGTATCATTGCTGAAATGTAGCAGGTAGGGTGTGATCCGATCCAGCAGGATTTCCACACTTAACCTGGGTGCTAGCTGGAGAATCAACTCCAAAGCAGCCAGTTTAGAATCACAGTACTTGAGGGTTTGGAGACAGGAAGTTATCACTGACACCAAAATGACCAGTCCGTTTTCCTTTGTTTCTCCCTCGGCCTTTTCTGTTTGGTCATGGCCACAAAGGTTATGAATAATATTGTCCAGATCTTTACGTATAACAAGGATGCGCTCATCTGCAGACACAAACGTTTCCTTGGCAAACTGTGCCATGTAAGGCTGGAGAAAAGTGTAAAATATTTCAGGAAAGGCATTGTTACGTTGCTGTTTCAAGTAGTCTTCAGCTGCTAAACGTTTTTCTGGATCACACTGGATCATTTGCATAACCTTTAGATAGGAAAAGGAAAAGAAGAACAGAGCAAAGGAGGGTGGGAAGAAAAAAAAGACTCATGGTTATTGTTAAGGAAGTACAGAACAACAATGGCCTAAAATAAAAATGCTAAATTATTTACCAGTTCTCTTATACTTCGGTCTTCAATTTTATTGAGGACTTGATCAGGTGCAAAGAGGCCATTTCTGTATGCCAAAAGCTGTGATAAGTCAAATAAAGGAACACCTTCTGTAAAGAGCTCAGCTACCACGCAGCCTGGAAAATACAAAACAAGTACCTGAGAACTATAAATCTCTTGTTTGATGGGTCATAACCACATCCAGCTCAATCTACAATTATTAGCAAAACTACAGAAGCTTGCATCTGTGCACACACAAATGTAAGACACTGTTAGCATATCCATAATCTGAGACACCTGTTTTCAAAAGAGTATTTTATTTCCAAGAAGATATTCCATCACATTTTATTTCCTTTCTCTGTAAGTGTTGAGGTACTCTCATCTTTAATATATTTCCTATCTAAGGTTCGTCTATGTCTCTGAATAAAACAGCTTTGCAGCTTGTATCAGGATGTGGGAATATTACAATTTATGAGATGCCATCTTGTTTTCCTTGCCTGAGAAGACCCTATGAAATGCATAGTCACCATAAGTCAACAGGAGACTTGAAGGCACTGGCAGGCAGGTACACACACAAAGAGAAAGAGAGGGAGAGAGAAATTTTAGCACAAGTTCAAACATCTGGTCCATACTAACTGCAAATAATACATTCCACTACGTTAATCTGATTTTATGAACCTGATTCTTGGTGCCATCTTCTGACAGGCCACACATTCTTCTGAAAGCTTCAGAGAGATGGTCTTTCCATAGCCATAATTCAGCCTCAAGACTTCACCAGCCCAGTTACTAACAGAGAACCAAAAACCGGCTGACAAGAGATCTAGGAGTTTATGAAGACTCCAGTCCAAAACACAGTAGACATACTTCTCTTTAATCCTGTAGATTTAAAGAGAAATGGAAATACTATGCAGAGATGTGAGGAAAGGCCTATATAAAATATATCCTTTCTTCTTGAGTAGCCTAATGACTACTAGACACCATATAGAAACCTAATAGAAACCATCATTTTGGTCCAACATAAAACAAGAAAACTGATATCACACTACACTTTAAATACACTGAAATTCTATGGCCACCTCCTGTAGAATTCTGGAGTTTGTAGTTTTGTGAGGCTATGACCTCTCTGATTAAGAATTGTAAAGGTCCCTCCCAAAACTACAAATCCTAGGATTCCATAGGAAGCAGCCACAAGATTGAAGGTGGGATAGCATGACTTTAGCAGTGTGGTATGATAATCTCCCAAGATGTGCATTCTACATAAACACAGCTCAAGAGATGACCCCCCATTTCACAACAATTTAATCAGTAACTTGCACAATGAATATCCATTTGTGGACTGGGTGTTTCAGCCTGGAGGAATGGTGCACATAACATCTGTTAGCATCTATTGTATGGCTGCAAGACTATTTCAAATGTCAGTAAGATTGGTTTAAATTAATTGCCAGCTCACAATATAACACAGGATGAAACCCTGATTTGCCAAATGAAGAAAAACATGCCACCATATCATAATGAAAAGGGAATAATTAAATTACACTGCTCTCAAGGCATGCCTGGAGAGTCTGTTTCCTCATCCTTGTATTAGTTGAAGGATATTTCAACTATAAAAAGCTGCTGACTGATACAGAAGCAACCAAGGACTATTGTAGTTAGTTAGGTGTCTGCCAAATTATTGTTTCAAGTCGTCATTAAGAGCTATGGCCAAATCTTAACAGTTGTTCAAAGAAAAGTTTTATTAGTGACTTTTTTGCCATTATTGTACTTTAGCAGTTTGAGGATGGGAAAACGTACTCCCCCAATTCACTGCGAGTTACTGGTTAAATTTTCACAGTGGGGGTAAGATTGGGGAGAAGAGCACTTTGGAAATCTTTATTTGCTGCTGTACTGTACAACCTTTAAAGTAGTGCATCTTTCATCACCTTCATCTAGAGAAGTGGTTCTCAACCTGTGGGTCCCCAGATGTTTTGGCCTTCAACTCCCAGAAATCCTAACAGCTGGTAAACTGGCTGGGATTTCTGGGAGTTGTAGGCTAAAACACCTGGGGAGCCACAGGTTGAGAACCACTGATCTAGAGGATGTATACTAGTCTAGGGGCTCCCCATTTAGCCAGCCATGATGAAATGGACTGTTGACCAAGGATGGCCTTTGGAGAATGAGATTATTTAGAAGTCCACACCTATGATTTCAGCTATGAGAGTCGTTGGACTCCATCCATGAAAGGACTGGAATATTTTTCTGCTATAGAACATCTATCACCACGATTGCAACTTATCTCATAGTATCATTTGTGAATGTTCTGTACCAAAAGAAGTTTTGGAGAGACCCAGAAATACAGCAAGGTCTACCAGAGAAAAACCACTTAATCACCAACACCATCTGAACCACACAGATTATGTAATACCATAATTTATGCCCAAATCTGTAAACAGATAAATATTAACAGAATCATAGAAACACAAACAGATTCCACAGTCTCCCTAAGGAAACTGTTTTAGCTCTAACAAGATTAGTGGTAAGAAAAGCTGTAACCATGCAAAAAGGTTTCATGGACAAAAGATAGTGACAACCTGTCTAGAAGAATCTGAATCTAAATTTAGTCACATTAAGAACTGAACCCTCCCCATAAATGGTACATATAAATTATCACTAGAATCAAGGGGACTAACATAAATCCAATTGTTTTCAGTGGACCCAATCCAGGTTTGAGTCCCGTGACCAATCTTGCCACGATGGCTTGTGAACAACACACAACTATTGCTACTGTTATTATATATGAACTAAATGTGTAAAATATACCACTAGAAGATCAGGACCAATATGGAAACAGACACATTTTGTTAAGTTATCTCTAAGACTTACTCCTGATCTGTGACCATTACAATACAATTCATTCATTCATTCTTTAAGACTGAGATAAATTATGAATGACCATGAAAATAAATATGCAGAGAAATCTTGTGGCATCCTAGAGACGAACAAAGAAAATGATGCTGATCGCATAAGCTCTCACAGAATAAGTCAACTTCATCAGATGCATTTAGCCATGCTTCAATATATGTAACTCCTATTAAAAATCTTTGCATTCAAAAAATATCAAAACACATTTCCTAGAACAGTACTATTTCAAAAATACATATGGTGGAAAGATGTGTTAGTAGAACCTCTATATTCTTACTCACTAGTTGTCTAAATTAGAGGATTTTTTTTACCTTTATGCATTTATTTATGCAATAGACAGGAGCTTTCAGAGACCAGTTTCGTAAAATATAATTGGAGATGAAGTGATACATAGTAGACTTTCAGTTGGCCTGAACTCAAGCAACCAGAACTCAAGCAAAGAATGAAGAAATAATACTACATTCACAGAAGTGTTTTATAATACAATAAAACCGTATTACATTGAGTTAAGTCTGTCTATATTTGCCTTAATTTGCTTGTACTTACTGCATTTTAATATTAAAATCAAGTAAATACAGAGTTTATAGTATGGGTATAGTATTAGTGTAGTCTATTTTTAATAGTAGCTCTCAAGCAACCAGAAGCTACATTTATCTGAAATCTATCAATTCCCAGGGTTCCAGCTAACTGAGAGTCTACTGTATTAAATTTCAAGGAGTTTTATTATATATTGATTTTTTTCCCAGATACACACACATACCCAATGTTTTCTATTTTTAAAATAGAGATTGGCAACTGTTCTTAAACACAAGATCTTTGTTTTGTTTCTCCTCTCCCCAAAAATGCTTTTACAAAATGGGAACATCAAACCACTCTATAGTTTGTATTTAAGGAGTTGTACAGCCTATAATATGTTCTCAGGGGATTGAAACTGGCAGATGTACACAACCTTTCACAGTTTGGATCTCAAGTTTGGATCTCAAATGTCCTTCTATCTACCAGAAAATGGAAGCCAAGACTTGCCAAGACTGCATCTCAGAAGTATCATCCATTTCTCATGAAAAAACAGAATTAATAATAATAATAATAAACTTTATTTATATTCCGCCCTATATTCCCGGAGAGACTCAGGACTTATTCCAAGCATAAAAGGCAAACATTAAACGCCGAACACAACAACAATACATCCATAAATAATGTAGGATAGTTATAATTTCAAATACCTGCAGAAAAGATATCCATTGCCCGTTTCAATTCCCCCCTGCTTCGCTGGTTACTGTTGGCCAGGTCCACTAGGGGAGTGGATGGATCTCTCATATTCTCCAGTTCAGTGGCAAACATGCTGCCATCAACAAAGCGCTCTGGTGCAATATAACACGTCCTCCTTCGTGATGTATCAAAAAAATAATTGAAATCTGCAGGGTTGTCCTCTGGGAGGTAGGTTGGTTTAAAACTTGCAAAATCCGTTAGAAGAACCCAGTTCCAGCTGGTCACCATGACGTTCTCGGTTTTGATATCCCCATGACGGACCCCAGATCTGTGTGCCTGGTCCACTGCAGTTAAGATCTGGAAGGCTATCCACCTCTTCTCAATGTTATTTAGGAAGGGCCGAGTACTAATACGGTCATAGAGGTTGTCTCGAACATACTGCCTGAACAGCATGGCTGCTTTTTCAGACAGTGTGGCCTTCTGAAAGGGTAGACAGTTTTGTGCAGAGTGCAGCCTTATTTTCAGTTCTTCCAGCTCCTGCTTATAGCTAGTTAAGGGCAATGTTGGGTCTTGAATGGCAAACACTTTGACAACCACCAGGCCTTCTCGATGCTTGGCTCGGGCAACTTTAAAAAAACGTGTACTACCCAAGCTTTTGTCATATTCAAAATCATGGATGTCTGAGAAATAGCTGTCAACCGAAAGGATCTGAGAAGGGGCAATACCAGCCAGCTGGTTTCCCATGGCCGCACTTTTCCTCTAATGCCACAACTCCACCTAAAGAAGAAGAAAAAGTTATTTCTTTATCTTCAGAAGATCTCTTTAAGTTATCGAAGTGTCACTTCCCAATATGTGATTTAAAAATAACAGAACAGGAGTAGAATTTTGCCCTAAGGGAAGACAAGAAAGAGAACGACAGACAAAAGGCATCCCATTTCGGGGTCCATTTTCAGCTAACCCCTCATTCTGTTTACCGGGAAGTTACTCAAATCAGGAGGGTGTTGCCTTTTGTCATTTGGCAAAGATTCAGCCTATTGGCTACAATGGAAAACTTTAAAGGCTCCATCTTGAGTCGTGTAAAGCCCTATGGCATGAAACCTACCTCAGTTTTAGACCCCATTCACAACTACAGGCCTGCCAAGTTTTTCAGAACAATTCATCCATCTACTGATTTTGTAAGAATTATTTTAAGTTTTTACCATAACATTTTTTAAAATAAGACAAACCGCAAGAGAGGGTCCTGGGCATTGTAGCCGCAGGTTGTGTTCATTCTTAACTAATCAGAGCATAACACAACCACACCTTTTATTGGCTGAGAAATAGAGAGAGACTTCAAGTCCCATCGTGCTCCCAGAGGAACTCAGAAACTTTTCAATGCCCATCCCATGAAAGTGCTGCTGGGAAAGTGAGTTCCCAGCAGAACTCTCTCTGGAGGAGGAGCTAGGGAACTTTTCTGCTGCCAGGGAAGGAGAAATGATGCTGCTGCAGGATCTTCTCCAGGAGCTTTGCGGCAGACCCCAGCTTCAGATATAATGCAAACTTAACTCAATCCTCTCCAGTAGACAATAAATCTGGGTCTCTTGATCTGTTTTACCCAGGTTTTTGGTTCTCTCCTCCCCATTCTTTTTTTTTTTTTTTTGGGGGGGGGGGTTACACAAAACAGACAGCTGAATAATACAAATCACTTTCGGTCAAACTGATCCGGGTCCAAGCCTAACAGACATTAGTCTCTAGGAAGGAGTGGATAACTTGTAGCCCTAAAAAGACTGAACTATAACTCCCATTATAAAGCTGCTGTCCATGACTGATGGGAGAATAAGACCAACAACCTTTGGAAAATTAAGTTCTGCCAATTCCTGCTCTAGAACTCTTTCATGACATATAGGAATTACACATCTATTGACATTATAGAAGGACTGTACAAGAAGTCTGCCTTTCAGAAAGAATCTGATCCAAACACCTTTGTTTTATATCCAGTTAACTAAATTTTACCCTGATCCTCCAATGTTAAAAAAAGCAAATGGAAGCAAAATTTGTAAAAGCTGCACCTCATCCATACATTAATAGAAGGGCTCTTCCACAAACTTCAGATTTCTTCATCCCTTCTCAACCAAAAGGCCATTGTTACTCTCTCTCTATATAATGGTTGCCTGCCCTAAACTCAAATCCTGTAGTAATAAGATGCATCTTATTTTGAAAATGAATTATACCAAATGACGGAGTATCCCAAATTATCTCTACCCCCCACAATCTTTTCATTTTCGCTTGTGCAACACAACTGTTATCAGCAGGGCTTCGTGAAACAAATGTGTTTACAGAACCATAGGTCATGAATGCTGTAATCTGAGGCCTCATCTACACTGATCATCTAATGCAGTTTCAAACCAGAACTGAAGATGCACATTAAGGGGTTTCTTTCACATGCTTCCATAGCACTGAACCAGGACAGTTAAAGTGGTGTCAAATTGTGTTCCTTCTACAGTGTAGTCCCAAACCTTTCTTATAAGGGATACTCAACCTGTACTTTTGTGAAAGACCTGCAAGGAAGAAGATCCTTTTGGCCCAAGGGACACCTCAAATCTCCCAAAGAAGGGAAGAAGGGAGTAGAGGGGGATAGCCCTTCATTAGAAACCAACCCTGAAGTCTTTTTATCTCTTAAATCCCTTCCACAGAGCTGTATAAAATCCCACATTATCTGCTTTGAACTGGGTTATATGGCAGTGTGGATTCAGATAACCCATTTCAAAGCAGATATTGTAGATTATCTGCCTTGATGTTATATGGCTGTGTAGAAGGGCCCTTAGCTTTCTACCTATCTGTTATAATCCATCATGGATCTATTCCTGCCTTTTCCCCAATACTAAGGCCCACTCTACACTGCCACATAATGTTAATTATTACAGATGGTACAGGATGACAAAGACAAGGACAAATATATTGAGGGCCCTTCCACACATCCCAGAATATCAAGGCAGAAAATCCTACAATCTCTGCTTTGAACTGAATTATCTGAGTCCACACTCACATAATGGGGGATTTTCTGCCTTGATATTCTGTGTGGAAGGGCCCCCAGAATATCAGGGCAGATAATCCGCAATATCTGCTTTGAACTGGGTTATCTGAGTCCACACTGCCATATAATCCAGTTCAATATGGATTTTATACAACTGTGTGGATGGGGCCTGAGAGCTAGCTTTTATCCAAGAGCTGTAACTATATGGAACTCCATGGTTCTGCACTGATGTGGCATTGGGGGCTCTGTGGTGGCGCTTGGAGTGTGCAGGGATGGGTGTGCTGTTTTGTGATGTGTGCTGGGAAAAGCATTAAATTTCACTGTACAATGACAATAAAATTGTTATACTCTATTCTATTGTCTGAACTTTTACATTCAGAAGGCCTTTGAAGAGCTTGTACTATCAATTTTAGGACCTGGTTCAGGCTCCTTCTACACGGACATAAAATTCAGATTATCTGCTTTGAACTGGATTATATAGCAGTGTAGACTCAGGGGCCTTCCACAAAGCCATGTAACCCAGAATATCAAGGCAGAATAACCTACAATCTCTGCTTTAAACTGCGTTATCTGAGTCCACACTACCAAGAAGGGGCCCAAGTGTATGTAATTAGGAACATTCCTAAGGCCCCTTCCACACAGCTGAATAAAATCCCACATTATCTGCTTTGAATTGGAATATATGGAAATGTGGACTCAGATAATCCACTTCAAAGCATATATTGCGGGGTTTTCTGCCTTGATATTTTGGGTTATACAGCTGTGTAAAAGGGTCCCCAAGTAGGCCATATATCCCAAGATCTGATTCCAAGTTTTCTGCTGTAAACTGCATGAGTCCACACTGCCAGATAATCTGGAATAAACAGAAAACCTGTGATCGGATTCTGGGATACAGGGCCTGTCAGGAAGAGCTCGGAGTCCACACTGCCATATATCCCTGTTCAAAGTGGATAATTCAGCTGTGGGATTTTATTCAGCCTTGTGGAAGGGGCATCAGATAATCCAGTTCAAAGCAGATATTGTGGGATTTTCTGCCTTGATTTTCTGGGATATAGAGATGTATGGAGGGGACGTGGGTGGCCTTCCACACAGCCATATAACCCAGCATATCAAGGGAGATAATCCCACAATATCTGCTTTGAACTGGAATATATGGCAATGTGGACTCAGATAACCCAGTTCAAAGCAAATATTGTGGAATTTTCTGGCTTGATTTTCTGGGGGCCCTTCCACATAGCCATATAACTCAGAATATCAAGGCAGATAATCAACAATATATGCTTTGAACTGGATTATCTGAGTCCACGCTGCCATATAATCCAGTTCAATGTGGATTTTATACAGATGTGTGGAAGGGGCATGGATTATCTGAGGTCCCTTCCACACAGCTGAATAAAATCCCACATCACTTTCTTTGAACTGGAATATATGGCAGTGCGGACTCAGATAACCCAGTTCAAAGCAGAAATTGTGGGATTTTCTACCTTTGTATTCTGGGATATAGAAATGTGTGGAGGGGACCTGGAGGCCCTTCCACATAGCCATATAACCCAGAATATCAAGGCAGAAAATCCCACAACATCTGCTTTGAAGTGGAATATATGGCAGTGTGGACTCAGATAACCCAGTTCAAAGCAAATATTGTGGAATTTTCTGCCTTGATTTTCTGGGGGCCCTTCCACATAGCCATATAACCCAGAATATCAAGGCAGATAATCAACAATATATGCTTTGAACTGGATTATCTGAGTCCGCACTGCCATATATTCCACTTCAAGCAGGAAATGTGGGATTTTATTCAGCTGTGTGGAAGGGGCCTTAGAAATGTTCCTATTTACATACACTTGCGCCCCTTCTTCATTGCCAGATCACCCAGGTAATCAAAACAAATGATCCACATTATCCGCTTTGAATTATCTCAGGATCAATGTGGATTTTATACAGATGTGTGGAAGGGGCTTGGGTTATCTGAAGTCCCTTCCACACAGCTGAATAAAATCCCACATCACTTTCTTTGAACTGGAATATATGGCAGTTTGGACTCAGATAATCCAGTTCAATGCAGATATTGTGAATTATCTGCCTAGATATGGCTGTGTGGATGGGCCCATTGTGAAGTCCCTTCACTTTTAATTCCTGGTTTTAGCAGAAAGACAAGTTAATGCATTTTGATCCTGGACTGGAATATATGGTAGTTTGGACTCAGATAATCCAGTTCAATGCAGATATTGTGAATTATCTGCCTAGATATGGCTGTGTGGATGGGCCCATTGTGAAGTTCCTTCACTTTTAATTCCTGGTTTTAGCAGAAAGACAAGTTAATGCATTTTGATCCTGGGCTGGAATATATGGCAGTTTGGACTCAGATAATCCAGTTCAATGCAGATATTGTGAATTATCTGCCTAGATATGGCTGTGTGGATGGGCCCATTGTGAAGTTCCTTCACTTTTAATTCCTGGTTTTAGCAGAAAGACAAGTTAATGCATTTTGATCCTGGGCTGGAATATATGGCAGTTTGGACTCAGATAATCCAGTTCAATGCAGATATTGTGAATTATCTGCCTAGATATGGCTGTGTGGATGGGCCCATTGTGAAGTCCCTTCCCTTTTAATTCCTGGTTTTAGCAGAAAGACAAGTTAATGCATTTAATCTGACATTTGCAAATCCAGGGACCTTCCCCACAGCTCTATATCTTAAAATATCAAGGCAGAACATCCCACATTATCTGAGTGTGGACTCAAATAATCCGGGGCCCTTCCATACAGTCCTATATCCCAGGATATGAAGGCAGAAAACCCCACATTATCTGAGTGTAGACTCAGATAAAGTTCAAAGCAGATAATGTGGGATTTTCTGCCTTGTGATTCTGGGACATAGGGCTGTGTGGAAGGGCCCAGAGTTGGGTGAGAAAGCATAAATCAACACAGAAAGCGTGTTTATGAAAACACAAGGCTAGGCAGAGAATCACATCAAAAGAAACCATGATTGAAAACAAAGCAGAGAAAGAGCACTCGAGGAGAAACCCTGGCAGGCCATTGCATTCAAAACCAAACCAGAACCCACCTCAGAATTCCTGGCCGGGCCTTCCCTGCCTTCCTTTCCCTTCCTCCTCAGCCCCAGGAGCCTGGGCTGGCTCTGCTACGCGGAACCGGTGTGTTTTGCACAAGAGGAAGGAAGGGAGGGAGGAAGGGAGGGGGAAAGGGAGGCGGCCTCGTGAGCTCACATCCTGGCAGGGAGGGGAGAGCAGCGCCCGAGAAGGAGGGCCTGCCAGGCCTCGGCCTCTGTTTGAACTCTCCTCCCGGGAAGAGGCGAGCCAGGCCGCCCTCCCTCCCTCCCTCCACAGGGCAAACCAAAGTTGTTGTTGTTTGGAAAGGCGCATCTCTCAGGGACCTTCCACACAGGCCTATATCCCAGAGTATCAAGGCAGGAAATCCCACAATATCTGCTTTGAATTGGGTTATCTGAGTCCACACTCAGATAATGTGGGATTTTTTGCCTTGATATTCTGGGAAATCGGGCTGTGTGGAAAGGCCCCCAGGCAGCCATTATCTGCTTTGAACTGGGTTATCTGAGTCCACACTCAGATAATGTGGGATTTTTTGCCTTGATATTCTGGGAAATCGGGCTGTGTGGAAAGGCCCCCAGGCAGCCAAGGGACAGGCAGGCCGAAAGGGGGGGAGGCTGCACCTACAGCATGGGCAAACTTCGGCCTTCCAGGTGTTTTGGACTTCCAACGCCCACAATTCCTAACAGCTGGAATTGTGGGCATTGAAGTCCAAAATACCAGGAAGGCACAAGTTTGCCCATGCTGTAGCTGCACTTTGACGGGACTTGAACGGCTATGGCTCTAGGCTAGGGAATGCTAAGATTTGTAGTTTGATGAGGCCTTGCAAAACTACATCTTCCTCCATTCCATAGCCTTGAGCTATGGGAGGTGTCAAACTGCATTACCTCCACAGCATGAAGTGCTATGACTAGTTTAGTGTGCACTTCACTTAGGCAATCCCTCGTTGTCCGAGTAGGATTGTCTTCCAAGTTTGGTGTACTCAGAGGCGGCCCTAGGTAATTTTCAACGGTAAGCAAACAGTATTTTGCCCCCCCCCCCCAATCACTGATATATATTTTCTGTTCGTCGTGGGAGTTCTGTGTGCCATATTTGTTTCAATTCCATCATTGGTGGAGTTCAGAATGCTCTTTGATTGTAGGTGAACTATACATCCCAGTAACTACAACTCACATATGTCAAGGTCTATTTTCCCAAGAGCGCCTCAAGAGCACCCCTGGGCAAAATCAACTATACTGCGAATGCTTACTTTGCGTAATGGGTTGAGCCGCCCCTGTGGTAGGGCCATCTTTGATAACATAGGTGACTGTGGAGCCCTATTCTTGATCTGCATCTTCTCACAGTGAAGACATTGGTTTCCAGGTGGAAGGCAATCCCGGTCAGGATTGGCTTGACATGCCTTCCTCTTGGCATGTTTCTCTCTTTCGCCCTCCATTTGTGCCTCTTCACTGCTGGTCACAGCTGACCTCGAGCTAGAGCGCTCAAGGGTCAGGGCTTCCCAGTTCTCGGTGTCTATGCCAGAGTTTTTAAGGTTGGCTTTGAGCCCATCTTTAAATCTCTTTTCCTGCCCACCAACATTCCGTTTTCCGTTCTTGAGTTCGGAGTAGAGCAACTGCTTTGGGAGGCAGTGGTCGGGCATCCGGACAACATGGCCGGTCCAGTGGAGTTGATGGCGGAGGACCATTGCTTCAATGCTGGTGGTCTTTGTTTCTTCCAGCATGCTGACATTTGTCCGCTTGTCTTCCCAAGAGATTTGTAGGATTTTTCCGATGGAATCATTCTAGGAGTTGCATGTGACACCTGTAGACAGTCCATGTCTCACAGGCGTATAGCAGGGTTAGGAGGACAATAGTTTTATAAACAAGCACCTTGGTATCCCTATGGATGTCCCGGTCCTCAAACACTCTCTGCTTCATTTGGAAAAATGCTGCACTCACAGCATTTGGTCAACATTTTCTAACGTTACACCATTAAGCTGTATCACTGGCATTGGAGAGGGATTGGCTGGTGACTGCTGGAAGAGCACTTTGGTTTTCTCGATGTTCAATGACAGGCCAAGCTTCTCATATGCTTCTGCAAAGGTGTTTAGAGTGACTTGTAGGTCTTCTTCTGAATGTGCACAGATGACGTTGTCATCAGCATATTGGAGTTCTGAGATATAGGGCTGTGTGGAAGGACCCTCAGGCAGCCAAGGGACACGCAGGCCAAAGGGGGAAAAGGCTGCATCTAGATAGGCTGTTAGGAATTGTGGGCATTGAAGTCCAAAACACCAGGAAGGCCAAAGTTTGCCCATGCTGTAGATGCATTTTGATAGGACTTGAACTGCCATGACTCTAGGCTAGGAAATACTAAGATTTGTAGTTTGATGAGGCCTTGCAAAATTACATCTTCCTCGATTCCATAGCCTTGAACCATGGCAGGTGTCAAATTGCATTACCTCTACAGCATGAAGTGCTATGACGAGTTTAGGGTGCAAAAATACTATGGTCAATGCAGTTTGGCACTACTTGAACCGCCATAGACCCAATGCTAAGGTGTCACGGGAGATGTTGTTTGACAAGGCTTTTCTCTGCCACAGAGGGCCTGTGCCTTGCCAAACTAGAGCTCCCAGGACTCCATACCATGGTGCCAAGGCAATAAGAGGAGGAGATTGTCATTGGATAAGGAAGTGACAGAGGCCGCAGATTTGAAGAGGTTGGACAAACCATCTTCCTGGAAATAGTGGGAATGTTAGAGGATTGCTGTGAGAAGTGCGTTCAACATCTCCTTTGAGAAATGCGATGGAAACATTGCCAGTTTTTACTCAGGAAATGGGTCAGGGATGGAGCATAAGGGTCATCCCCCCCCCCTACATACAGTCCCAGCTGTTATGATATTATAGAGGCCAGGAACAAGTTAGGTTCTGTAGGTTTGTTCTTAAGTTGAATTTGTGTGTAAGCAACATACAGTAGAGTCTCGATCCAACCTTCGCTCATCCAACTGTATTATCCAACACAGTCTGCCTCCTGCCTGGATCCACAGCTGTTTCAATACATTGCGATGTTTTGGTGCTAAATTCGTAAATACAGTAATTACTACATAACGTTACCACGTATTGAACTGCTTTTTCTGTCGATTTGTTGTAAACATGATTTTTTTTATTATTATTAATTTTTATTTGCCACCTTTTCAAAATAACAATAAAAGGGGGAACAAAACCGATAGATCCGTCATTATGGTCCACGTAAACATGATGTTTTGATGCTTTAATTGTAAAATCATAACATAATAGGCTTTTCCTTCATTCTTATTATCCAATATTTTTGGTTATCAAACGTTCTGCCGGCCTGTTTATATTGGATAAGCAAGATTCTACTGTATATACATTTTAAAGTGTAAGTAAAGGTAAAGGTTTTCCCCTTGACATTAAGTCTAGTCGTGTCCAACTCTGGGGGGTGGTGCTTATCTCCATTTCTAAGTCAAAGAGCCGGCGTTGTCTGTAGACACCTCCAAGATCATGTGTCCAGCATGACTGTATGGGACACCACTACATTCCCACAGAAGCAGTACCTATTGATCCACTCACATTTGCATATTTTCGAACTGCTAGGTTGGCAGAAGTTGGGTCTAACAGCAGGAGCTCACCCTGCTCCCCGGATTCAAACCGCCAACCTTTCAGTCAGCAAGTTCAGCAGCTCAGTGGTTTAACCTGCTGCACCATCAGGGGCGTAACTCCTGTGTAACTCCAGCCATATATATATATATAGAGAGAGAGAGAGAGAGAGAGAGAGAGAGAGAGAGAGCTTTGGGTAGCATAGTTAATGCCCTTGTGGTGTTTGTCTTGCTGTCTATGCCTCCTCTTCAGAAGATTTCCCCTCAATTTGGATCATGCGATTTTAAATTTTATACTACGATGTTTTCGTGCTTTGTCTTAATGTTTAAATGTTATTTATGTTTTATGTTTAATGGTTTTAATTATTTTAATTAATAGTCTTAGTTATATGTTACTGTTTAGTTACTATGATTTTTTCCCCATGTATGTTGGCATTGAATTTTTGCCATTAAAATGTTGCAAATCGCCTCGAGATCCCCCAGAGGTGAGAAAGACAGTATATAAATACTGTAAATAATAAATAAATAAATTTCTGTCCCTGTGATAATTGGATTTTGAAAATGTTGCTTCTTATGGAAACGATAATGCTTCGATGGAGACCCTTTTTCCCCATAACTTTTCCAGGGGTATATTTCACCTCTAATGGGATTAATTCTTCAGTGAACTGGCATTTCACAAACAAACTGGGCAGTGAACTGGCCTTGCCAAACTGACCAGCCTTTGACCTGAAGCTATGTATCATCCATCCTCCATTATATAAAGAGAGAGACTAGGTCTGCACTGACCTATATCCCAGGATCCGATCCCAGATTATCTTCTTATCCCAGATTAGTTGGCAGTGTACACTGATATAATCCAGCTCAAAGCAGATAATCTGGGATCAGTTTCTGGGATATAGCACAGTGTAGATCCAGCCTGAGACAGGTAGATGGGAAGTCTTTAGATCCTTTCTGCTGTGAAATCCTACATGCAATATAGACTTTGGGGAGAGGGAATGGAGTGGCCATTTGGCCAAAAATAGTATGAGCATTGGAGGTTCACCCTTTAATGACAATATGAGCTTGTATAGGGGAAACGTAGCTGATAATGCTGCTTTCACTTTAATTTCATAAGGATGTATGTGGAGTTAATATGGTCACTGCGGAAGAATTTTTTTCCTCATCTAGACAACAGTTTTGTGAATTCCAGTTATTTTGTGTAAAAATCCTTGTCAGCATAAGTCAATGCATGGTATTTTAACTGTGGCCACCAGATGGCCCTATTTTCCCAAAATGACATTACTGAAGTATTGTATAATACTTAGCAAAGTGTTTAGGGATAGTCACATCTAAAATAAAAATGCATTATTTACATTAATGCATATTTCAAAACTAGGGTGGTGAATGGCTGACGATATGTGTATGATAAGATATTTTGTGTAAGTGACTCAATGACTGAAGGAAAAAATCTGACAGTGGTTCCCAATCTTTTTTTTAATTTTTTTTGACCAGGGTCCACTCTCCGACATTAGTACCAAAAGGGTTATGAATCAGTTTTTGGTCAAC